GCCGCCGCCGCTCGGCCTGGCCGTGGCCGAGGAGCCGCTGCACCGACCGTGAGTGCTGGGCCGGGCTTGGAGCGCGGGGCCCGCTGTAGCCTCCCTTCCCGGGGCGGGACCTCCGGCGACGGCTCGGGGAGCAGCGTCCCTGCAGTCTGGGCCGCCCCACGGCGAGAGTGGCGACCTCGCAGCACCCGGGAGGTTGGAACCTGCCCGTTCCTGCTGGGAGAGCCCAGCTCGGGCAGCGGGCGCCGCGTCCCATGCTCCCCTAGGGTCCCGTCTCTGGGATCTCCGTCCTTCGGCGAGGGGACATAAGACTCATTGGGGCCTCTCCTGAAGCCACCGAGGGAAGTCACGGCCCCAGGCCTCTCCCCTTCCCCTAGATGCGAGAGTTAGGGAAAGAACGTGTTTGTTTTTATTTGCAGGAAACGGGGTTGGGGGTGGCGGTGATGCCTTAACTGTGTTATGAAGAGAACTTAGAAGAGTAGAGACTGCGTCCTGTTTGGCTTCCTCCAGGCCCCTTCCCTTCCTCTCCGGTTAGTTCCAGAGGGAGGAGGGCTGTGGGGGCGCAGGGCACCTCACAAGAGCCCGGGAGTTGGAGCTGGAGGGATGTGGGGATAGTGGATGACATAATGCTCTTAGGGCGTCTAGGCGGGAGTGGTTGGGGGAGGGCAGGGGCCTGAGGACGCCGTCCAATAGGAGATTCCCGTTCCATGTGGCGCTCTAAACAGCCTGTGACCTGAGACTGGCTTCCCAAATTCTCAAGGCATTTCGTTAGTTCGTGTATCATAGTGGTGGTAACACGATTTTATGCATCATGTAAGAGACCCGCCGATGTGAGCTCAGGGGTTGGTCTGCAGGAATTTGAGTAAGTTGTGGTTGTCGAGGAAGTGATGAGCTGCTTAGGTGGTTCTTGTTAACAAATGAGAACTAATACAGCCGACTTGAATATTAGGGAAAGTTGATTGACTATCTCCTTTGGGAACAAGGAGGACGCATGGTGGCCGGAGAGATTGATTGCTGGGGGATGAATGAGGTGTCCATTTCACTAGTATTGTAGTTAAGCTTGTTTGAACATGGGATGTCTGTGGACCCCAGGAACATCTCAGGTGTGCCAATCAAAGAGCTACTGTTTTGTTTCATTGCTGACAGCCTGTTACTCTTAGGTGGGCAGGGATCTGTGCTGCTTGTGTGTGGGGAGAATTTTTGAAACGAAAAGACAGACCATTAATAAACCCAAACCCACTGCCAGTCAAGTCGAATTCCGACTCATAGTGAGTGTAGGACAGAGTAGAACTGCCCCATAGGGTTTCCAACGTTGTAAATCTTTACAGAAGCAGACTGCCGTATCTCTCTCTCCCCCACGGAGCGGCTGGTGGGTTCAAACTGCCAACCTTTTGATTAGCGGTGGAGCCTTAACCGCTCTGCCACCAGGTCTCCTCAGACCATTAATAGCACCTTCTGATAGGACCCAAGGGCTTTTCCCGGAAGTCTTTGTCTGCTGAGTGTTCAGCCGAGGTTATGCAGTTCAAGGAGCCCTGGTGGTGCAGTGGTTAAGCACTAGGCTGCTAACTGAAAGGTCGCTGATTCGAACCCACCAGCCATGCAGTAGGAGAAAAGACCTGGTGATGTGCCTTGGAAACCCTATGGGGCAGTTCTGCTCTGTCGTTTAGGGTCGCTGTGAGTTGGAATCGACTCCCCAGCCCACAACAACCACGTGCTGCCGTCCAGGCTTTCCTCTCCCCTTTGGGCTTTTTATTTCTGATCTGGGTGTGTACAAGGTGGCATTCATATGAAACCGTTTTCAGGAAGCAGCCCCTTGAAGAACTCTGTTAAGACTGATTCATTTTTAGTGACTTGTTCTCTATATTTCTCATAGGATCCTTGCTGTGTGTCCTGAGAGTTTAATTAGATAATGAGAATTCATGGCGGGGGATTATACTGGCTTGTTAGAATAAAATTTAGAAATAAATTAATTTTTGTTTTCTTAAAGGTGAAAAACCTGTTTGGATAGCTAGAGAAACTTGTTGACAATTTGACTTATCTCTGCAGCAAGTAATTTATAATCATATGGCCACACGCTGTGTGTATCTCGTGTAAACGTGGGTAGCGCTAAGCAGGGTCCTGGATGGGAAGGAAGACCTCACTGCTGTCCACTGGTGGCTTGTTCAAACACTTGGTCCGTCTAAACATATGCCTTCTCTTTCTTATGCTGATTTGACAGAGCATGAATTTGCTTATCTTCAAAATATGGGTATCAAGAGAGGTTTCTTTCTAACGCTGGCTTGACACAGTGATAGATTTTGTTTCATTATTTTAAGATAATGTATGATTGATTTATTTTAAAAATCTATTATTTATACATAAGTAATATGTTAACAAGATTAACAAATTCCCCAATTCCAAAAGGGTAATAATTAAAATATCTCCCTCCCACTCCTTTCTCCTGAGTATCTAACTCCATCCTCAGAGCAACTACTCTTTAACTTTTTTGTGTATCCTTTCAGGTATAACCAATGCAAATATTAAGATCTTAAGTTTTTTAAAAATAAAAGTGTTGGCTTCCACCAGACTGAGTCCAGTACAGCTAGATGGTGTCTGGCTACCACCACTGACTGCTCTGACCAGAATCACAACAGAGGGTTCTGGACAGAGCTGGAGAAGGATGTAGAGCACAATTCTAACTCACAAAAAAAAAGACCAGATTTACTGGCCTAAAGGAGACTGGAGAAACCCCGAGAGTATGGCCCCCAGACACCCTTTTAGCTGAGTGGTGAAGTTACCTCGAGGTTCACCATTCAGCCTGCGAGTGGGACAGCCCCATAAAACCAAATGAGACTAACGAGGTACAGGAGTCCAGTGACAAGGGCCAGAAGGCAGAAGGGGCCAAGGAAGCTGGTGATAGGGAACCCAAGGTTGAGTAAGGATATTGTTGATGTGTTGTGAGATTGTTAACCATTGTCATAGGGCAACATTTGTAGTAACTGTTACATGAGAAACTATTTTGTTCTGTAAGCCTTCATCTTAAGTGAGAATAACAGCACAATTGGAAGAGCGTAGTCAATGTCACTGAACTGTGTATGTAGAAATTTTTGAAACGGTGTATCTTTGGCTATGTGTATTTTCACCAAAAAAAAAAAAAAGGTTGAGAAGTTAGAGGGTTGATATGTTGTGGGGTTGTTAACCAATGTCATAAAACAACATGTGTACTACTGTTTCATGAGAAACTATTTGTTCTGTAAGCCTTCACCTGAAGTACAATAAAATATAAAAAAAAAATAAATGTGTTTTAGAATAGTAACTGAAAGGTTCTTACAATGCTCTGAAATCAGCTGCCATAGAGTTTCGTTATCATTGTTTTAAATAAAGTGAGTAAAGTTCCTGTTTCTTTGTATTTTGCTGTTGAGGAAGAAGATAGTGATTTTCAGTGACAAACTCTCTGCTCTCAAGTTTGGATCTTGGCATTTCTGTTCAGATGCTTCCGCTGAAGAATGTGTTCCCCAAAGTAGGATCGGCCATGAGTGATTGAGAAAGTGCCTATTCGGTTGTTTATGGCTCTTGCTGTTTTGTGGAGGTGTAGCGTCACAGCCCTGTGTGGGCTTCAGTTGGCGTATCTGAGTGGCTGCTGTCTACTCAGTAGATAGGATGCAGGAGTGGGACTGGCTGCAGTTCGCTGGGCTGGCGTGCATGTGAGCGGCAGAGCTTGGAGGGGTCCTGACAGTCATTATGAGGTAACTGTCACTTGTCTTTGGCACTTTCTCATTCTTCTCCAGAGTCCCAACTAGTTTTTCTCTGACTTCAGTTATTCATTCATCAATTGGTATTTATCGAACATCTGCTGCGTACCAAGTGCTGTTCTAGTTGCAGGGCTCCAGCAGTGAACAGACACATCTCTGCCCTCCTGAAGCTTTCGTTTTAGTGAGGAACATAGATAATAAGCCAGGCATGGCAGTAAAATATACAGCATGTTAGGTAGTGACAAATGAAGGGGGAACAGTGAAGCAGCGAAGGGGACTAGGAAACGTCAGGGTTAAGGTGTTGACATTTTTGATTGGGTGTCTGGGGAAGGTCCACTCAGGTGATGGCTTTTGAGTATGACCTGAAAGGAATCAGAGATCCAGCTGTGAGAATACATGGGGCGGGACCTCTAGCGAGAGAACAGGTACAAAGCCCCTGTTTGAGGAGTAGCAAGAGGGTCACTGGCTGGGTGAATGGAGTGAGGGGGAAGCCGTAGGAAGTGAGGTCATACAGGTAGAGGGAGTGTCATAGGAGAACAACAGGACCTTCCTTGTAGGTAGAGATGAAGACTTTGGCATTTATTCTGGGCGTGAAGGGCAACCATTGAAGGGTATGACTGGAGGAGTGGTGTGATCTGAGTTTCTTTTAAAGCGAACGCTGTCTGAGAACAGGTGAGGGGAGTGTGGACAGAAGCAGGAAGCCAGGTGGGAAGCTGTTGCAGTGATCATGTGAGAGACGGTAGTGGTCCTGTCAGGGTGTTGGCAGTGGGCAAGGTGAGAAGTAACTGAATTTTGGAGGTAGAACCAGCGAGATTTGCTGATGTCTGCTAAGCATAATGTAGTTTAGCTGTAGTTGGTGTTATCAGTTGGGATTGTATTCAGCTGCAAATAAGAGAAAACCCTGCTGCAGGGTTTTCTTATCATAAGACAAAAAGAAGTCTGTCTGAGGAAGTTCAGCAATAAGATCAAGGACCCAAGCTTTTTCCTACACTTAGCTTGCAAGCCTTGTCCTCATTCTTGCTGCCTCTTAATCAGACTATGGCTGCCACACCTCCAAATCTCACATCTGGGGTCCAGGCAGGAAGAAGTGCGTCAGGTGATGGAGTGAAGGGCAGAAAGACTTTCTCTTAGGATAACTTTGCTTTTTCATTCAATCATTCATTAAGCCCACATTAACTGAATGCTGACTATGTGCTAAATAATGTTCTGGGCTCTGAGGATCTGACAGTTAACAAAAAAGAGGTTGCTTTGAGTCTGTAGATCAAGTTAGGAAGTATTGCCTTCTTAACTGCATTAAATTTTCCAATCCATGAACATAGG